TTGACTTCTAAACCAGCTTACACTTAACCAGTTTTCCAGTATGAACAGTAGCTGTTCTTATCAGAGCACATATCCCCTGAAATTTTGTGTCAGTGTCCACTGTATGCCAACCAACCTATCTATGGAAAACAGTTCTTTTAAACAAAATCGTTGTGCTTTTTATATCTAGAGAAATTAAATATAATATAAATTTTGCATATCATTATATATTTATAGGTGACTGATACTACAGTGCATCATCTGTTGGTAAGAGAGTGTTTGAACAGTTAATTTTATTTTATATTTGGACATAAAATGTTAAGTCTGATTCTGCTAGCAATTCTAATACCCAAACTTTGCATTTTTGGGGGATTATTATCATATTTTTCAACAAAAATTTTCATTTTAAGGGGGCTTTTCAGAAGCACAGTGCTTTATATGGCAAGTAAAACTGGCAATACTCTTAAGATTGACTTTAACAGTAATCAAATCACAGATTTTGCTAGATGTCAGTGAACATTATATGACCTTTCATTAATTTATGTAATAACTCAGAGTTTATTTTTCCATGTTATGTTAAAAACTGTAAATTGAAGTGCTGTTACTACACAGGAGGAGCTCAGATCACAATCCTATGTTTGTTTTGTAAGGAGAACAGGTTACATGCCCTGTCCTGACTTCATTGACACAACTTTATCAAGAAGAGGAACTACCCTGTGATTTTAAAAAATTAATTTTGATTGTATGATGTGGGCATGCCCCGTCACTATCTCTGCCAAGGTTTTAGTTTCACACTATTGTCCTCCTCAGGCTATAGCTTGGGAGGGAATCTCGCAAAGGAGAGTGGAGGGGACAAAAGTTAGGTGACTAAAAGATGGATGTCCATATCTGTACCAGTTGCATTTGGCTTCCTTTAGCGCTGATGGTCAGAAAAGGACACCTGCAGAGAGCAGCTCATCTCCCTCTAAGGCAGACAGCTGAAGCAGACCTAACAAAGTGCCCTCTGGAGACACTTGTTGTCATTTATCTACATGGTGGGGTTTAGGCAACTGTTTAGGTGGTGAATTGTATGTACCCCAACTTCAATGTCTGTGTTGTTTTGAAAACAGAACCAACCTGTCTAATCTACTTAGACACCATCACCCCATGGAAGTCACATGGGTGGGATCCCAAGATTACTGGAAATTTGCAGCTTCCTCAAGAATGCAGATGTAGCTCTCCAGGACTCAGCATAAACCCAAACAAACTCACACCCCTTCTAGGATACGCCTGGCTATTGCCATAGCCAAGATGATCTCTGACTGTGCTGCTCTCAGGGTACTCTGATGGGGCATGACAAGGGCATTCTGCCAACTCTTTGCCACTGAAAACAGTTTTATGATAATAAAATCCACAGCTTTAGCAGGCTTTGTTACCCATTTGTATGAAGACAACTCACCTAGGCCGTGGTAGAAGCCAGTGTCCAAAGTTCAGATTTTGCAGTATCCAGCCACCACAGTAGTTTCTCCTTTACATTTTTCACCAGTACACCACGTCTGGCACAACCCAGTGCCTTTTCCATGGAGCTGCACACCTAACTGACTTTGCCACACTAGAGTTTACACTGGCATTGCCACACCTGGAGATGCCACAAGGTATGGCTTAAGGGAAGCTCAGCCTGTGGAAAGGCTACAGGAGAGCTGTGTGGGGATGACATACAGTGGTGGCAGCTGGGGGCCGTGTATTGCTGGGTGAAAGGATTTTGCAGGGCTGCCTTGGAGTGATGCTCACATCCCACTAGGTTTCATTAGCTCCTCTGGCTGCTGGAACAAAATATTCTTCTGTGTGGACAAGCACAGCCTATTTTCTAGGACATTCAGTCTGCTCTTTAAATCAAAGTTATTCACTCTTTCAAGTCTAAAGCAAAAAAAGAGTTGTGGACAATGGAAGGGTTAATTTTCAAAGCAGAGGTGACACAGGACACTAATACGAGAACCATTTACCTCGATTCACTGGAATCCACTGGAATATTCACTGGAATACCATTGTGATGTGGTATTATAAAAAAATGGACTACATTCAGATTTCAAGTTCATTTTAACAGCAAGTAAAATGTTTGGCTTGAAAACTTGCCTTTCTGTAGGCTGAATGTACTTCCGTGCTAGCAGCTTCCAGGAAACTCTTAGGTTACAATTACAAGAAGTTAAAACTGCAGCAGCAGGATTGTTAACTGGAAGTCAGAATTTCCTTTACACCATTCCTCTTATGCTTAATCCTAAGGCTAACTTAAATACTTTGTTTCTTTTCCTTTTCTGTTACATTGTTTTGGTGTATTGGTACTCAGTTACTGTTTTGTTTTCTCTATCTGATCCTATAACCTCTAACTGTTCTTTGGTCTGTTTCTTTTACTTTACACTGGATTATCTACCTAAAGCAGCATTTTCCAACAATCCTTTCACGTTATGGCACCTTCTCTTTTAAATTTATTATTAACGTGTCCAGTTCCTGAAACAGGTAAAAAAATATTTTGTAGTCCTTTCCAGGTTTCCTAATTACATGGCCAGTAACACAAAAAAAGATTGTAAGCAGGAAAGACACTGATAAGAACTGATTAAAAAAGCATTGGTTCTGGGGATTGAAATTGAAATACATTTCATAAACTAAAGGAAGAGAAGAAAAGAAGATAATGGAGGGATTCAATTGAAAGATACAGGGATTTTTCTTAAAATGGTATTTTAGACAATTAAAAATTATGAGTGAAGATAACTAGAGCACAGTAGAAAATCTAAAGAAAATGAGGTGTGATTTAATAAGTCTCCCAATCATGGAATCTAGGGATGATGCTTCAGGACAGATGGTATCTCAAACAGATCTGTACTCTTCAAACCTACATGACCTCTTTTCTTTAAATTAAGATGCAAGGAGATGAGCCTGAGAAAGTAAGAAAGTGAGAAAGTGAGACAGGGCAGAACTGGAATGCTGACTGAATGAGCCACAGGGACAGAGGACAGCTTGTTTGATCCTCTCTGTCTGCTATTTGAACATAGATCTGAAAGATAAGTGCTGAAGACACTGTCCAACACATTAGGGGCTTTTCTGAAAATAAATGGAAAGCTTGTTGAAAGCAGGAGCATTTTTATATAGTGGAATTTTACTCACTGTTACAGGATTGAGCAACAATGCTGAGATGCAGAAACAAAATTTGTGTCTGAACAAACCCAAGGCTTTATGTTTGCTCACTTATTATATATGTAAAATATAAAAATAGCATCTTTGTTTATATGGTTGCTTGCATCACAAATATGAGTTTTACAGACAATTTATCACTGCTGCAGACTCTGGAATGTGCCAGTAAATCTGTGGCCCTGTGTCTCCTTACAGCTGCTTTTGTATTTGGAATATAAGCCATGTTAACTCCTGAAGGATTTATCAGTTTAGAGGACAGCTGCGAAGTGTTTAGAAGAGAACCTAAGGACAACATGGCCCCAAAATAAATCCGGGTTTGGCTGCTCCATCTCCTAACATGTGAGACTTCTCTACAGAGAAAAAAAATTCCAATGGAAGAGACACAGCCTTCCAGGGACCTCCAGCAATTACTTCCCCACTCTACACAACAGGCTTTGAAGGCTTTTTTCTGTTAATTCCTCTTGTCTAACAAAAGAAAACAATACAGTATATTGGTGGATGAATGGACAGAATATGTAGTATTAAAAAGCAGCCAAAACATTCCAGCAGACGCACATTTTTCCATGAGTAAAAAAAAAAAAACCCAAAAAAAAAAACCAAAACAAAACAAAACAGAAATAAACCAAAACAAAAATGTATTACTCACATTGCTTAATAGGTTTCTGGAAGGCTCTTAGGTTTTATGGTTGCTAGAGATACTACTACACATAACAAGACAGCTGTAGCTTTCAAACAGACAGTAACCCAATAATTTTATTGCTAACTAATTTTGAACACACATGCAATTAAAATTAAATGCAAGACCCGTATGACAGTTCTTGGGGGACAGAGAAGTAACATCTAAATGATGGAAATCCTATATAGGAAGCAAGAGCAGTTTTTTTAAATGTAAATTTCTTTTCTGTTTGTTTGTTTGTTTGCTTTTTTGAAACAATGTAAGTACATATGAAACGGTACATCAGGAAAATCAAGGAAATCAAACTTAAAATGACCTTTTTCCTTCGTCCTTTCAAAGGAAGGCTGACAAATGTTCATGAGCTTCCACTCATCATGTTTCATTGGAAAATACGAGACAGTGGAATCTGATTCATTCACTCACAGGGATCCTCCTCCAAGACCAGTGTGCTTAACAACTAAACAAATTTCAATTGTCCTTCTAAGAAATCTGATTTTTATCCTAAGTCACATGGATCACTGGTCACATTTGAAAGGTTTCAAATATGGATCTGAGTCATTATTTTGATTAGGAGATGTTGCTCTTTGGTAGTATTGCACCAGGTTATAAATTCAGTCTGTCATATAGTCCAGGATTGATTATGAAGTATATAACTTCCTTAGTATTTATATTTCCTAGAAAGATGTCTGACTTTTCCCCTTCTGTACTAGTCATGATAATTCCAGCATTCAATTTTACAATTTTCTTATTTACACCACATCCACAAATTCATTCTTGCAGCTGTTCCTCATGTGATTATTTCTAGTAGTGTCATTGTGGTTCCCCATGTGAATAAGGCTTATTGTTGTGGTATACCATCATAGGCTACAAATATGCAAAAATTATAAAGGGACAGGAAACTTTCAAACCCTTTAAATATTTTTGTACTGTTTTTCAGGTTTGCTTGGCTTTTTTTGTTTTGTTTAATTTTGTTTTAAGATTGCCGTGCAGCTATTTAAAAGTTGCTTTAAAAAGTTTTAAAACTGATTCCACTGAGTTTACATAAGCTAACCATAAGCAAGTATTTAGCAAGCAGCTTCAAAATCTGCCAAACCAAACCCTTAGCCAGTAGAAATTAGCAATTGTGCAGTTATTTTAAATAGCTGTATGTTGTATTAAAATATAAATCTTTACAATAAAATATCCTAGAATAATTTTATTTTATGACAGTATACTGCATTTTCTTATGACAGTTTCTTATTGTGACTATGTTTATTATAAATGACAGCGAGAAGAATTGTCAAGGAAGAAAGCACAGAAACCAAATCCTAGCATTTTAGAGCATATACCAGAGAAACAATCTCCTAAATGCATTACTTGAACAGATACTAGACTAGCTGCAATATACAGAAAAAAACAAAAACAAAACCAAAAAAAAACCCAAAAAAACCCACGTGTTTTCTTTGTCTTGTGAACAACATATGGTGAAAGCTGTTCCCTGGTGCCAGCAAGGATCTCTGCTGCATCAGTTCCTCTGCCGTGAAGGTAAGAACTTGAGCATTAGGACTCGTCTGTACTGTAAACAATCACTGCTCAGATGCTTTGCTGAATACAGGTCATGTCTTATTATTTGTTTCTTAGATCATGTCTTGGAACTGTATCTAAACTGACCTTGAAACAAGGAACACTTATCCAAATTCTTTGAGTAGGAAGAAGTTACTACTCAGAATGGAAGAAATGTGAGCTATGCTGAACTAAGGGAATGAGCAGCAAGTCAATAATGGAGGATTTGTGTTCACACAGACTACTTTGAATTACAGTGTCTGCAGGAGACCTTGTCAGTGCTTTTATGTGTTAAGAGGTTATCAGCCATCTCCTCTATGCTGCTCTTAGTTTAAAGTGGGTGGGGAATCACAAATATTAACACTGCAAGAAATGTATTACTGATTTTTGTAGTAAGGGATGTAGTCTCATAATAATAAATACTGCACATGAATACTGATGAAGTACCAGTTCTGCAGTTTTAATGGAAACATCTTTGACAACATCAAAGAAAGACTGATTACAGATAAGAAATCCGGGAATCAGCATATGGTCTGGCTTAGCTGGAAATCTCCATCCCTACTGAGAAGAGAAATCCTCTTCTAAAGGTTTCAACAATCCTTATGCTGATGATAAAAGAAAGATGTATTCCATGGTGGTAGGCTCTTAAGCAGCTTCTGGTGGTCATGGCATGACATGAAGCATCTCTTAAAAGTATACAGCAATCCTAAACAGCAGTTCATGGAAAACTGTGAAGGTAAATAAACATTTTAAATTGCAAAAGTCAAACTCTAAATAATTAAAAAATATGAATTTATTGGTACTAAACATTATGCATCTATTTTTATTTTTGTTAAGTGTAGGCTTTTTTAACTTGGTCCAACAAAAACTATATAAACTGAGTTTACAAAATCAGAGCAGACACTCAGAATTCCTGTATCAATTTTCTATCAGGTTTAAAATCACACAGTTGTCATCCTCCATTGGATATAGAAGAAAATTATGTGGAACTCAGTTCATATTGTATGACTAACTCTCCAAAAATGTTAGCAATACTCATGGGTAGAGTCTTACAACTAATGCTGAAGAAGGAATACTGTGCCAGAAGCCTGAATGAAACTGATTGACTGAAAAACTTAAAGAAGTGTCATAATTGTCTTAGGAGTCAGTAGGAAAGACAGAAAGTGAATAATTTTGTATCCTTGTGAATGTGCATAGGAATATATTTACACAGAACTATAGCTACCCTGGTTGGAGTTCAGCCAGGTCATGGGAGGTAACATTACCTCTGCTTTTAAGAAAAAAAGAAGCTGCATTTATGCTGTGCATCAGTGCAGAGAAAGATTTTGTTTGCCTTTATTAATTCTGTAATACCTCTGCTGAACATGAGAAATAAAATTGGAAAAATGAGCTTTTAAAACTGCACATGAATGGGTAGAAAGATCATGTAATATTTACTTGGTCCTTCCTCATGTTTCTATTGGCAGGGTTACAAGAACTAAGACTAAAACACAGAGTTACACTGAAATTAATGACATCATTCTGCAAAACAGGCAATGGATGTAGTCTTTTGAACAGTAACATGATGGAAATTATGGAGAAACTTCCACTAAATGCTCCTTCCTTTCACTTCATGATATAGCCAGATTTCCAGGTAAGGAATAAACTAAACTAATTTTTGCATTCCCATTTATGAGCAGCAGAAATATCTATGTGCTCTTTTTACTAATATAATTGAAGGAAACAACCTCCAAGTAATTTACGGTATATCTCCTCAGTGGAAATACATATTTATTCTACCTTACACTAACCAGCTGTTTTCAGGTATTTGCTTTTAAGATGAACTTTGTAGACCTGAGGACACCATCTGATTAAAAAAAAAAAAACAAAAAAACAACCATGTTATCTTAAAAAGGCATACTATGGATTTCATGGAGGAGAAGAGACCAGTGTTGTATATTCAAGGCAATTTTTAAATGCTTGTACCTTTCTGTACATAAACTTCGGCACGCTCTTATGTTCCACTGGGGTGCTGGGGAAGAACTAAATGCTGCTATTCAGAAATATCTGTGTGGACTGCTTGTATAATATTTTGAAGGGTAGATTAGCTGTACCTGGGACAAGTCAGTCTTAACCAGATGCAGCAAAAACATTCCATTATTCTTTTCAAGCTTTGGGAGAATTTTAAAAAGGAGCTCAAATAAACGTACTCCAGCACATCATTGAATGGGTTAGTATATTTCAAGATGCTAAAAAATCTACTCATCAGCAGTATTGTTTTAATTTAACTTTTACAGGTATAGAAAACTAGTAACTCATTTTAAATCACTGATAAAATGCTATCAAAAATGTAGCTTTTTATGCTGCTGCCTTTCAGCCTACATCTTCTCCGGATTTTAACATCCATTCTTAAGTTGTTTATTATTTACAAAACCTCTGGACTGTCCGTTTAACTAATATTTAGTGAGTGCAAACTTGCTTCCTCTGATCTTTTAGTACCTACTCTGGCCATATCATAGAATAAGCTGAATTGGAAGGGATCCACAAGGATTATCAAATCCAACCTCTGGCTCTGCAGAGGATACCCCAAAAGTCACACCATGTGCCTGAGAGCATTGTCCAAAAGCTTCTTGAGCTCTGTCAGGCTGGTGCTGTGACCACTGCCCTGGGGAGCCTGTTCCAGTGCGCAGCCACCCTCTGGGTGAAGAACCTTTTCCCTGATATCCAACCTAAACCTTCCCTGACTCAGCTTCACGCTGTTTCCTTAAGTCCTGTCACTGGTCACAAGAGGGAAGAGATTGGTACTTTTGGTGACCTTTAGCTCAACAGCTCTTTCCCAACACAAAGGATGTTCAGGTCAGAAAGGTTATGATCATCTTGACCTCCACAGCAAAAAAGCCAAGAAATTTTATAATGTGAGCTTTGCTTTGAGTCCATAACTTAAGGAATGACTTAGATCACAGGATTTAGAAAAGCCATTGAATCTTAATTTAGAAATTAGGAAATAGAGCTTAGTGGGTCCTTAGGGATAATACCAAATAACTCCTCTTGTGGCTAAAAGAGCAGGATGTTACGCTACATGAGTATAATTTCACCTGCCATTTATTGGTTCTCATTGTCATCTTAGCTGACAGATTAAAGAGACTTTTAATATTTGAAATCCTAGTACATCATGATCCAGGCTTTGTATAAGCAAGACAGATGCTTCTTCATTCTCTCACTGCAAGACAGATTTTCCTGGCTTATCCAGTTTGTCAATCATTTGTGTTAAATGCAATACCACTAAAAAAATAAAAGTTTGATGAATGCCATCATCATTACTACTTCTTAATATTCCTTCACTTTTAAATCCAAAGTTTGTACCATAAGCATTAATCTTCTTGAGTTGTTCATAACCACACTATAACACTTCTATAATTTGACTTGTAAATATTCTTTGTACTTAGATGCCTTTCTTTCCTATAAATATTTATATCTGCATCTATTTTTCTTGCTCAAAGCTGTGTTGCAAGTTTTGTATAAAAATATTTTTAATAGAATATTAGCATTCAATAGAATACACCTTAATGTCTTCATAGAAACTCATAATTATACAGTGACCCTTGCCAGGTTAAATACTAATCCCATTAAGCAACAGGCCTAAATTTCAGCAAATCATGTTGATATTCAAAAGTCAGTAATTCTTTAATTCCTACATGTGATTCTTACTTTTGACTTTCATGATTTTGTCAGAGTCTCATAATGTATTTTAGCTCAAAACCCCCTTTGCTTTGCACTTCTAGTGGACCCCAAATCAATTTTTCTTCTTCATTTTTGGAAAAAAAACACATGTAGATTATTATCATGAATGATTTAGAATCCTATAAAATTCTGTGCCATAACTTAGTTGCTCTTGAAAGTTTAAATGTTCTAGGCTTTACTGGTTGCTATTTAGCATCCTTACTAAGTACTGATTGAATAAAACATTTGCAATTACATCCATGAACTATTACAGCACCATTCGGGTTTCTATTAAAATATAAATGCTTTTATGCATTGGTATTGTTACTGAAAGTTGTGTATTTCAAAGTAGCAGGGAAGCCATGCCATTGTCTAGATATTTTTCTTTCTTGATCCTCATGCTTTAAAAAAATTATTCCCCTTGCCCTTTAGGCAATGATCCAAGACTTTTCATTCCTATATTTAGCTACTATTAGTCAGTCTCATTGTTTCATAACTGTAATTCACCATTTCTGCTTATCAGCTTTCATATTTTCCTTTTGTTTTATACACAGAATTGTCACTTTCTTTTTCTTTCTTTAGCTGAATGTATTTAGCTGAAAAGAAACTCTGATAATTGCCATAATCTAATTTTCAGAATATTCTCTATGGTTTTTTAAAGTAAACTATCATTTACCAATTTTCCTACATATCTTTACCTATACAGGTGTCATTCAGAGTTTTTTCAGACTTGTAACACTGTCTTTTTTCCAGGAAAATGCATAATACCCGTAAGAACTATTTCTAGATAACAAACATGGTTAAATTATGCAAATATAGTTAAATTATACCATTTTACATTAGAGAAACCATGAAAATATCTAGATTAAACTATTTTTATTTTGGTCAGAATTGTCAGAATTTAAAACACCTTAGAGTTCTGAAAATAACAAATGATTTAATTTTAGAAAATAATAATCTATTATTTATATAAAATCTAGGGCATGTTTACTTGTGGAGGTTTGAGATCTAGACATATCCTACAGTTTGAGATAAAAAAATTAAAAAGATGATTGTAAGATAACTCATTCTAGCTAAATGTTTACATAACTGCTCATCCAGTTCTGTGTTCAGATAATCTCTCTCACCAGTATGCAATTTTCTGATTTATCAGCCTAAACATTGACTCATAAACACACTAGGTTTTGGACTTGTGAAAACAGAAACTATAGTGCTTTTTACTGAGCCTGGCAAGTCACACTCTCTGCACATTATGTCTTTCTTAAGGTATAAACTGGTTTGAATACTCAAGTTGTGACAGACATCCTACTAAAAAATCCCAGCTCGTGCATTTGAATAAATGAGCCTTTGATGCAGATCTGCAGAGTATCTGTAGGAAAGATCCTTCAAGGACAAAAACTCTGTGTAGGATACAAATTTCTTCATTTGAACATTTTTTATCCTCTGTCTTTCTGAAGGAATTACCTCAATTACTTGGAATCTTATTAGTTACAGATGTATCTGTGAAGCAGCCAAAAAAGTAGGCCCTTTATCCAGCACTATGTGCACCCTCATACACAAACACTTTGTGCTATTTTTTCCCCCCCCTGAAAGCCCCCTTACCCCTTGTCCACAGCACTCAGTCCCTCCTTCCTTCCCTCCCTCCTTCCCTCCCTCCGTGGTAAGCTGCATATTCAGTGTAGGGAAGTGTTGTTACTTTATATAAAAAGGTGCTTAAGAAGATAAAGGTGCACAAGCTCTAATGCTCTCAAATGCTCCAGGCATTTAAACGTGTCCAATGCCTGCATACCTTCCAGCAGTGCTGCCAGCCAGGCTCTCAGCAGGAATTCATGGTAATTAAGCATGCTAGAGGCATCCACACTTTTACAGAACCACAGAATCAAATTCTTAGGGGTAGAAAGGACTTCTGGAGATCATCTAATCCAACCCCCCTGCCAAGGCAGAGTCACCTGGAACAGGTGACCCTCCCTTGGCAGCCTGTTCCAGTGGTATGCCACCCTCAATGGAAGTTCTCCCTCGTCTCGATGTGGAAATTCTTGTGTCTATGGCCATTGCTCCTCATCCTGTCACTGGGCACCACTGAAGTGTCTGGCATTATTGTTTTGACACCTGCATTTGAGACATTCATATGCATTAATGAGATCCCCTTGCAGTCTTCTCTTCTCTAGACCAAACAGGCTGAGCTCCTTCATTCTCCCCTCCTAAGAAATTGCTCCAGAGCCCTCATCACCTTTGCTGTCCTTACTCAAATAAGGACACGTGCAACTTTGTCTACAAATAGGTACTATTTGTGAGAGCAAAAAAGTAAAATAGAAAGCCTCAGAGAAAAAGTTGGATGCATGAGCAGCACACAATACCACACTGTGGGTGCTGCAGCTCCAGCATCCATTTACCAAGGTTTTGGACTCTCACTTAAACAGCTCCATGTGCATGTGTGTCTACAGTACAGAATAACATAATGGACAAGGCTGGAAGGGAGCACTGTGGGATGTCTGGTCCAACCTCCCTGCTCAAGCAGGGTCATCCCAGAGCACGGGGCTGTGTCCAGGAGGTTCCTGAATCATCAGTGAACGATAATCTTTGATCTCTCTGGGCAACTTTTTCCAGTGCTGGGTCATTTGGCACAGTAAAGAAGTTCTTCCTTATATTCAAATGGAACTTCTGTGCATCGGTCTCGGCCCGTTGCCTCTTGTCCTGCTGCTCGGCACCACCAAGCAGAGCCCGGCTCCATCCTCTTGGCACCCTCCCTTCAATACTGATAGACGTTGATGAGGTCCTGTCTCAATCTCCTCGGGGCTGAGCAGGCCCAGCTTCCTCAGCCTGTTCTCATACGAGCGATGCTCCAGTCCCCCATCATCTTTGTTCCCGCCGCTGGACCCGCTCCAGGACTCCCTCGCACGGTAGTGGACACAGCACTCCGGATGCGGCTTCACCAGGGCTGAGCAGAGGGGCAGGCTGCCTCCCTCCCCTGTGCAGGTCCGGCCAGGAGCAGCAGCAGCAGCCGGGGCACAGCGCGGGCGGGCAGAGCGCGGCCGAGGCACCGCGGCCGAGGCACCGCGGCGGAGCCGCCGCCGCTCCCGCCGGGGCGGGGCCGCTCTCCGGGCGGCAACTTCCGGCTCGGGCCGGCCCCGCCCCGCCGCAGCCCCGGGTCCGGCCGGGCCAATGAGAGCGCGGAGCCGCAGCCGGGCAGGTAACCCGCGGCCAATCAGAACGGCGCTGCGGGAACAGGTGGGCACGGCGAGGCCCCGCCCCCCGCCCCGCTGGCGGCCGCGCCAATCGGGGCAGGGAGGGAGGGGCTGCCCGCGGCACCCGGCCCCGCGGGGCTGCGCTCCCTGCCCGCCCCCGACGGCCGCCGCCGCTGTCCGTCCGTCCGTCCGTCCGTCCGTCCGGCGGCCGCGCCGGGAGGGCTGCGGCGGCCCCGCGCCGAGTGAGGGAGGGAGGGAGCGCGGAGGCAGCAGCCATGGCACTCGTGGCTCCGGAGACTCGGAAGTTCACGCGGGCGCTGAGCAAGCCCGGCACGGCGGCCGAGCTGCGGCAGAGCGTCTCGGAGGTGGTGCGCGGCTCCGTCCTCCTGGTGAGTGCGGCGGCGGCGGCCCAGGCGGGGCTCCGGCCCGGGGCCTGGAGGGGCTGCGCGGTGCCCCGAGGAGGAGACGGGCCCTTTGATCCCTGCGGGCTGTCACGGCGGCGGGCTTTGATCCCTGGCTGCTCGGCGCTCGGGCGGCTGCCGCGGCGGGCCGAGGTGCGGTGCAGCCGCGGGCGGGGCGGGCGCTCCCGGCCGCGGGGAGCGCGCCCGCCCTGGGATGCGGCTCCCGGCGGGCACGGCTGGGCGCTCCGCCCGCCCCCCGCCAACTTCACCTGTGGAGCGGGCAGCTGGCGCCCGGCCCGACGGGACCCCGCCGCTTTTGCGTGCGTCGAAATAGCGGCGCGAAAGTGATTTTTCATCTTGCTGCTCCCTACTCTCTTTACAACTAAGATGCAGTTTTTCGTTGTGTCGTGCGGAATGGAAGATAAGCGCTGGCAAGTGTAGCAGGAGGGTTTTAGCGTGTTGTTTATCCCGGCTGTCCCTGTTCCGTGCTCGCACATGGTTGCTCCTCTCTCCCGTGCACGGTTGGGCGCGTTCATTAATTTAAACTGCTGAAAGTAAATTTGTGTAAATAGTTGTCTAAACCGGGTATTTTAGTTTAGAGACAACTGAGAGGGGATGCCATATGTGCATATAAATATCTCAAAGGCAGGTGTCAAGAGGATGGTGCCAAACTCTTTTCAGTGGTGCCTAGTAAAAGGACAAGGACCAATGGCCATAAACAAGAATTTCCACCTCAAGTGGAGGGAGAACTTCTTTCTATTGAGGGTGGCAGACCACTGGAACAGGCTTCCCAGGGAGGTCATGGAGTTTCCCTCTCTGGAGACATTTGAAACCCACCTGGATGTGTTCCTGTGTCACCTGCTCCAGGTGACCCGGCCTTGGCAGGGGGTTTGGACTAGATGATCTCTAGAAGTCTTTTCCAATCCTAGGAATTTAGTTCTGTTAGATGCTGTACTGAGGCAGCAGGTGATGACATCTTAAACAGCCTCAGTAAGACTTTCCAGGGTTTCTCTTCTGGGACTCTTATTCATGGTATGCATTTGTTTTCTTTGTGGTTTTGTTATCTCCAAGTGGAATGTTTCAGTAAGCGTTTAACTCTGTGTAAGTGAAGAAGTTCTGCTGCTGGAATTCCTGACACTGGAAGCTGATCTGTCCTTTGTTCTTTGCTCTTGCTAAGTATGATCTTGTCTTTTTTGTACCTCCTGTTGGGACAGTGTCTTGTCATAGCTGTGTGTTGTGAGAGTAACAAATGCTGTAGCTGTGATTGAAAGACAAATACCTTTTTTTTTAAAAGACAATGGATCTAAAATGAGATTGCTCTTTAGTTATCTATGCATCACATAATTTATAAAATGTGCAAAATTCGGAGTCTTCCTGGATACTGACAGCTTTCCACAAGGGGCTAGCATGTTTACATGGAGTGAACATCCAAATATATTAACACTTCTCCAGGGATCAAGTACTTTTTGGGAACTGTGGAAAAAGAATATATATATTTTAAAATACTTCTTGTTTTGGGGAAGCACAAAGGAGATTTAGGTATTTTCATGACATAAATGTATGCAGTGTCTGCAACCCTGCCATTCCCTCCTCTGCCTTTAGAAGGTTTTTCCTTAGTTCACTTATGACTAGTGCCAGTGAGTTGGAAAATATTCATATGCATCTTTAGTTAATTCAGTTTGACCATAATAATGGTCAAACTGAATTAATTAAATTATTAAGTATATAATAGGGTGATAGGCACTAATATCCCAGGTATTTTTAAGCTGTTACAACAGCATATTCTGCAGAATTTTATGGAGATTAAAGAAGTGATGGTGCAAAGTGGTGTACTGTTCTTGATCTTATCCTGAATAAGGTCTTCATCAGCATTTTTGAAACAAAAGGAGTGACTTACCATTCATAGTTTAACATTCATGTCAGGTTTTTGATCCTTTTATGTTAACTTGACGCATGAAGCTGAATCCCCATCTCCCTCACGTGCAGTCTCGTGGTGAAGTTCACCTTCCTATTTCAGCTGTATTTTGCCCCAGCTGCTATGTCTCTCTTACTATAAGTACTGTTCATTTTATCACTGAACTCCAATGTTCTTTTGCACACACTGTTTAAGTAATGGAATAAAAGGCTAGTAATTACATGTTTATATTTACATTTTCTTCCTCCTATTAATATACTGTAACTCTTTGATGTTTGGAATGAAATAGTACTTTTATAAAAGAGAAATTTTGGTGGGATAGTATTGTTTTTTGCTATAGAAGACTTAAAAAAAGATTACATCTCTAAGTTTGACAGGTTTACCTGTTTCTTATCTGAGTTTCTGGGCTTTATTATTTGAATAAAGATATCTGGGCTTTGTTATCTGGTGAAAAGACGAGTCTTACCAGTGTTACAGTAGTTATGGAATACTCTGTTCAGCTGTGGGTCTTTAAAGTAAAGGAGACCCACTTGCCTTCCAAAGCTGCTTCTCAAAGCTCTTTGATATAGCACTTTCCCAGGATTTTTTCAACTGAGTTGTTAACAAATTGTCTTGCTTAAAACATAGTTCAGCACTGGTAACTAAAGGGATCTTACTGTCATCACTTGCTCATGAACAAGTGCTGAGGTTTTCCAGTACTGAAAAACTGCTGTTTGCCATTGACTAGTCATGCTGTGTAGAATCTGGAGGCAGGAAAGAATTAATTCCAACTAGTAGTTCATGGTGGATGATCTGTCCAGATCTTTACAACCAACTATTGCTTTGGACTGTACATCTCTGCAGCAGAATGTACTGAGTAGTGATGCAAAACATCCAGTCATTACTTGCAGCAGCAGATAAATGGGAGCTACAAATATCTCTGAGCTTGAGTAGATTCTATAAGTTGCTATTGTGGCTACTGTTTAACAGTTCCATCCATTTTTACAATCAACAATATGTGGCTAGATTAAAAAGGAAAAAGAAAAGCTTTGCCCATCTATAAATGGGGTTTTTTAGATCACGTTACTAAAATACGTGCTTTTCCCCCCATTTTATTAATGTCCTTGAGATTATATTGATGAAAGAGAACTGAAAACAGCATGTCAGTAGGATAGCATGGTACATCTTAGATTTTCAGATTGCTCTTCATTGGATCTAAAAGTCAGAGACTTTCAGCCAGCTGACAGACTAAATAACTTGACTGTGTAGTAAAAAAACATGAAGCAGATGTGGCTTGCCAAGCTAGTTTTCATCACAGAATGAAGCAAGCTCTCTTGTCAGCATTTGACATCTCATATGTTCTCTCTGTTAGATACAGTTTGCTGAACCAACAAGTACAGTTTGGTTGGCTGAAATGAAATCTTTTTATTTGGCAATCAGCTTTTCACTGTGTTGTAAGGCACATAATGTATTTCTTGATTATTTAGATTCAGTTTTTATATTTTCTGCTTGACAGTAGCATCCTTGCTGAATATTCTCTTGTGCATTGTTGATGTTGTTTTGACTTCAGACTTGTCATGTGACTTAATTTGATGCTTCTGGCCACCCAAATATATTTATGTCTGAGAGGGAAGATTATGGGGATGACAAGTGTGTCTCTTAAACCAGCAATCTTGCCAAGAGCAGTTTTCAATGCAGTTTTAGTATTATGCATAATTGAAAGTGATGTCTTTAAGTGATGATGAGTTACTCAAAGCATGTTGCATACAGATCAGTGTCTCTTTCAGTAATATGTTAATGATAACTCATCTCAAAGCAACAAAATTACTCTACATTGGGGTTATTTATAATAATATACCTATATGAGAGCTGACATTTAAGGATAATAAGCAATTAAGATAATGTTTGACCTCTAAAATTTGATCTGCTTTACTTAGCTGTGAATAAAATGCCTTTGTCAAATATGCAGCTAATGAAAATGTTTAAATATGCCAAATAATGCAGCAAAAGTTGTTTCCCCATGTCAAAATTAATATTATACAGAAGAATTTTGCAATATGGGAAAATAGGATGAAATCTGAGAGATTCTCAAATTGCTCTATACAGTTCTTCTTTTTGATTTGGATATGTAAAATAGATGTTAATTATTTAAAGGCTAGAACTGTATCTTAAGATAGTCTTGGGCTTCATACGTTGAGTTCAAATACCTGATGGAGCTCTTGAGTTCTAAAACTCTTCCAGAAATTCAGCTTTTCAGACATGGTAGAAAATCAGTATATCACAAAGGCAAAGACAACTCCTACTGAATCTTTGATATCAAATTATTTGGTATTCTTTCTTTTCTTTATAAGAAAACTTACGTCAGCTTTGTCCTTCCAATCCTGATCTCTGCTTCCTGTTAATCTCAACTCCATAAGAAAAGATGGTGAGGTGCACTCTATGCTGTATTATTGCCAAGTTTTTAATACAGCATCTCCCCAAAAATACTGGGAGGATTATGTAGTATTTATTTTGGGTTGGCATTTTCCTGTCTGATTCCTG